TCTTTCAACAAAGTTGCTATTGATGGGTTACTTCATCCCTCGGGGATCTTGGTTATCAGTGCTGTTTTTGTCTCTTAGTGTCCTAATCTATGTTCTAAGTGTTGAACTTTGGTGACAGTAATTTTCCCTGGGAAGGAGGATGCAGAAGGGAGCTGAGTAACTTTCTTGTCTTGACTAACACTATACTTTCTACTTCATTTATAGTCTATTCCAAACATAACTAACTCTGAGCAGTTTACAGGCCTTTAATAAGATTAAAGCCATATCAGCATAAATATTTTGGAATAACCCACACATATAAGACATTCACCCACCAGGGGGAATAATAACCAGTACAACCCTTCATACTCTAAGGACTTGCTGAAAAAGCCAAAAGAAGTGGAAACTATCTGATGTCAGCGGCAATGCTGCTCTAGAGAAGTGGCTCGGTGTACAAGAGGGTCTGAGCCCAAGATCTCTACCAATGACACTCGCTAAAGATCAGGATCCGGAGATGGCCCTTTCTTCCAGGTCTTGATGGATGGGCAAAGACTTCTGGAAATAGGTGGTCCATAGATAACCAGGTCCTGAGCTCGAGAAGATTCATAGTATGTTAAAAGTTGTGGATCTCTGTTTAATATGTGAGAAATGTTCTTAATTCTCTGGATGAATTCTAACTCCGCTCTTTCCTAATAAAATCAGTCTGTTATGTTTTTTCAAGGATATCCACCTTGAGGTCAGTACTGTAACATAATTTTTTTTTTTAAATTATTTATTTATTGAAAGCCAACCAAATGCCAAATGGCTCTGGGCAGTTTACATAATTAAAAGAATGTGTGCCCAGACAAAAAACATGTTAATGATAAAAAAATACACCAGTAGCTCAATAACCAACTTAACCCCAGACCTGGGAGTGCAGCCATGTTTTCAAAGACTTGTGGAACTCTTATAGGCTGGGACCCTTGGGGATGTGCCAGGCAATGCTATTCCAGAGGGCAGGTGCTGCAATGGACAAGGCACACTTCAGAGTTCCACTAGATTACATTATTTGATAGAAGATACCTGGAGCATCCCCACTATGTCTGATCTTATGGATGGGCAGAAACTACTGGAATAGGCAGTCCCTCAAATAGCCCAGCGCCATGCCATGAAGGGCTTTATAGATGACAACCATCCCCTTGAATTGTACCCAGAAGCAAACCAGCAACCACTGCAGCTTATGGAGCATTGATGACATATGAGCATATTAAGGTGTGCCCATATTCCCCTACAACATCTTCAAGGGCAGGCCCATGTCAAGCTGCCAAACCAACAGGACCTCACCCAGTGGTTTTATGTAGATATTACATAAAGGGTGGGATGAGAGTGTGCATCAAGTGAGGGGCAATGTTCAAGTGCATCAAGTGAGGAGCAATGGGCATGACCTTCCCTCCCCTTGTCAACACTGACTACAGAGAAAGGAGGAGAGGCACCACAATAGAATGCCTCCCAAACCCAATCCCTGCATTTGGTTTAGAAGGCTACCATGGTCAAAGGCATCAAAAACTGCTGAGAGATCAAGGGGCACAAGGATGGATCCATCACCCCTATCCTAGCTCGGCCAAAGGTTATCGACAAGCATGACCAATGTGGACTCCATACTGTATCCTAGCCTGAAATCCAATTGGAACAGGTCCAGGTAATCTCTTTCCTCCTCTGCAACAGTTGTTTGATCACTTTGTCAACAACCTTCCCAACAAAA